AGAGAGAGAGAGAGAGAGAGAGAGAGAGAGATTAATTACTTTAAAAATTAGGGAGTAATAGGTATACAAAAATTATGAAAATGTTTATTACAAAATCATTTTTGTTCACTTGTATACCATTTAATGATATTTTTTAAACACAAAAATTTATTAATTTCTTTATAATGAAAACAAAATTTAACAAAAACTGTCTGTTTTTTGCTAACATTTTGAGGTTAAGTCAGACTTTGTGTCAAAAATTAAGCGCATATTTAATAGCATTTAAAATTTTTTATATTAGTTGTCAATACATTCATCATTAATATCATAGCCTTAAATGACATTACAGGACGTGTGAGCGCGGGTTCGGCTATTATCGCCCATTGACTTTGATTTGGTACACTTGAAACAGCCCTGACATCCGTGGCCTCCATTGCCAGCGCCGGTGTCAGAGCTCTCGGCGTCGCCGGTCATCAGCGGATTGTGGATTGTATTGAGTCTATCGATAGCCACCGACGAGAGCGCCGGCGGCTGTTGTTGTAGTTGTCCTTCGGAGCCAATTATAGACACATTTTTCTCATTATTTTTAATATTATAATTAATATTGTTTTTCTCGTTGTCAGCGATAGTAGCGGTGGTCGTAGTGTTGATGTTATCAGATAGCGATAATTGTTTGCTTAATTGCAATGCCATTAAACGATTCAATTGTTTTTGGCTAAAAGTGTTGTTTTGTGTCATTGAGACTAAAGGTATTAGCGATCGGTTGTCGTTCAGCGCCGACCGGCTATACTTGTCGTCCAACGCGGCCAACGATGACGACCGGGATGAACACATTTGGTCACCGGTGACCAGTAGGCGCTCGGTTTGCCTCCCGATACACCTCTTGTCCGTGTCGTCGCCACCAGTGCTGCTATTATCCGACGACTGATCCTTTGAATGCCTTCCGTATAACCAATAAGTCTTCGGGTTTTGTGTTTGGGATAATAAAAAGAGACAATAATTTTTGTTTTGTTAAAATTTTTCAATAAATAGTTTTGTTTATGATTTATAGCTTTTTTCGACAAACTTTTTCTTGTTTTGTATTCTTTGGCACAAAAAATAACAAACATTTTTACATAATTTATGTCAAACTTATTATTTATTGCAAAATAAACTTTTGTTGCTTCTCTTAATGCCTATTGAAATCATTTTAAAAAACTAAGAGATTATATAATAAAACATAAAATGCTATAAAAATAAGTATTATTTTCTCATAAATCTTATTAAACAAATGTGTGTATAATTTATATACATTTATCATTAAAATGACTGAAACTAATGATAAATGCAATGATTTGTGTATTTAAATCATCAAAAGTGGTAACATTTTTGGGGCCAACCTTCATAAATCCTTTGCCTTTCAATTGAATGGTTCCCCTTTCATAGATATCCCATTCATTTTGGTCTAACATGCCCTTGGTCATCTCACTGATTTGAACCATCTGGGCCTCACTCGAGCTCTCTATACGACTGGCAGTATTCACTATTAACGGAGAGGATTAGCATGGTTATTTATAAATATCATGCTAGAAATCAACGTTGTAAAATATTTCCCAATCATTACCTGTATCTCCAAATAAACAGTAGCTTTAAAAACAAAATAAATGAATAAATTATTTAAGATATTGTTTTGCACAGACATTATTGTTAACATAGGTGAACATACCGGGGCATTTTTTGGCCAACAATACCGCCCACCACTTGTGTTATACAACATTTATTTGTTAGCAATTTGTTTGGTTAGCGATTGAATTGAGATTATTATAGAAAAGAAAAAATTAATTTGAGGGCAAAAATTAAATCAAAGCCAATGTTAATCAATAGGTTATCTATGAAATACATATCGATAGACAGACACACGTGTAGCTCATTAACATACCTGCGCCTGTGTTTTGTGAGGTAATGTTTGCGTGAAAAATAAATTTACATATTATTACATCATGTGTTTGAAGTGAAGTGTGTTTTATCCCATGTTTTATTTTTATTGTTTTTGGTGTTTTTCAAATTATAGTTTTATATATTATTATAACTTATAATAAGTGGAAAGTAAAGCGAAAAAGAGCTATCATTTCATTGATCTCATGGCTCTGGGCTTTCGTTTAATATAAGGAAATATAATT